ATACCTACTTTTTTTTTTTTTTTTTTTTTTAAGTCAGAGTCTCACTCTGTCACCCAGGCTTGAGTGCAGTGGCACACTCACAGCTACCCCAGTGCTGACTTGCTAGGCTCAAGCAATCCTTCTGCCTCAGCCTTCTAAGTAGCTGGAACTATAGGTGCGCATTACCATACCCGGCTAATTTTTGGATATATTGTAGGGGACGAGGTCTCACCAAGTTGCCCAGGCTGGTTTCAAATGCCTGGGCTTGGGCAATCCTCTTGCCTCAGCCTTCCAAAGTACTGTGATTACAGGCTTGCACCTGGCCAATATATATATTTATATACTTTTTTTTTTTTTAGAAAATAGGATTTATTAAGAAGACAGAAAAACTCCCACAGTGGGGGAGGGCCTGAAACATTCTTTTTTTTTTTTGAGTTGGAGTCTCACTCTGTCACTCAGACTGCAATGGCACGCTCCTGGCCCCCGCAGCCTCAACCTGCTGGGCTCCGGCGATCCTTCCTCCTTAGCCTTACGAGTAGCTGAAACTACAGGTGTGCAGTACCACGCCCGGCTAATTTTTGATTTGTTGTAGAGATGAGGTCTTGCCAAGTTGCCTGGGCGGTCTCAAACCCGCGGGCTCACGCAATCCACTCATCTCGGCCTCCCAAAGTGCTGGGATTACAGACTGAGCCACCAAGCCTGGTCAATATTTACATTCTTAATCATGCTTTTCTCGTTTTTTCCCCACCATGCACAGGACTATCTTTTGTGCATGACTTCAGGGACAGGCTCACTTTAAAAAGACTTCCCTGCTTACCTGGTTTATTAGCAGCTGCCCCCCGTTAAAGCCTTATAGCCTTACACCTGGGACCTCATCCAGCCTCCTCATTTTAGAGATGGAAGACTGAGGCTGAGAGACTGCCCAGTGACATATGGAAAACTGAGGCTCAGAGACAGCCCAGTTGTGGCTGACCTTCGAATTCTCAGGTTTATGATCTTTCTCCCATGCCATGGGAAGCTGGGCATTCCTTTTGGGAAGCGAAGAAAGCTTGAAAGCACTTCTTCCAAATAGACTTTATTCCTGTTAAAAATGTGAGAAGTGCCCTCCCCTAGCACAGGCAATACTTTAAGCCAATGCCAGTTATTTGAAGAAGGTCAGTCATGGACCCAGGGTGGCAGGCAGGCCTCAGGCCGAGGTGGGAGGACAGAAAGACATGATAGTTCTGCTCTGGGCCGACCCCAGTGACCTCAGCCGGAAGTCCGCCTCATGGAAACTTTACTGGAAGGAACTTCCCCAAACTGACACACTCATGGAGGCAGGGTGCCTTGCAGGCTGAGCTGTCACGGTCTGCCAGCTCTGAAAGGCTGGCTCCAAGCAGCCTGGCCCCCCTGCCAGCCAGTCCTTAGGGGTTTCTGGGCTTCTGGGTTGCAGGAGGTGGGACCCCTGCCAACCTGTGGCAAGACAACTCCCGTGGCTGCTTTATGCGGTCCAGGTCACTGGGGCCCTGGCGGTGGCTTGGGGGAGTCTCTCTCCCTTCCCTCCCTACCTGACTGAAGACCCGGCCTCGCCTGGCCCCTTCTGCTGCTGGCTCATATCCTCCGCCCCAGTGGTGGTGCCCCGTCCTCACCTGCAGAACTTGTTCTTGCTGTAAGCCTAGGTGAACCAGGCACTCACTTCTGTAACCGAATATTTATCCCCACGGAGGGCATTGTTCCCTTGGCCGTGGAAACCCTGGGAACTCCTGGGCTGGATGGCTCAACTCTGCATTTCTCACATGCTCTCTGTCTCTGTTTCTCTGGGTCTAGCTCCTTTCTGTCTCACTCCACCTCTTTCTTTTGAAGGTGCCCCTTGTGCTCTCTCTGTGTTTCTCTGGCTCTAGCTTCTTCTTTCTCTGTCTCTCTCCACCTCTCTCTGTCTCACACAAGTAGGAGATTAGGCCCAGCGAGAGTTCCTCATCTATGATCCTCATCTCCATCTTCCAAGCATCAGCTCTGCCCCTTGGTTGGTGACCACCTCCGGCTCACCTCTCCCAAGAGGAGTTGGGCAGCTCAGCAGGAATCCTACTCTCTAAGTCTCTGCAGACCAGTCTCCCATGACAGACATGCCCTCATGCCAAAAGGAAAGTGAGAAATCTCTCACATCCCCCCTTGCTGTGCCCTGTCTCTGGGATCCTCTCCACAGGCCTGTGAACAAGAGAAGGCAGGTATGACAGTGCACAGAGAGCAGGACCCAGTTGAGACCAGATGACCATGGAGGCAGCTCCATCCCTGCCTCAGCCCTAGCTCCTTCTGCTGCAAGCAGGGATTGGCCAGCCTCTTCTGGAGAGGCCTTTTGATCCCTGCTGGGTGACTTTGAGGCCTCTGGGTGACTTCTCTTGCCCCAGGGAGATGCTTCTGGATTGATTTCTTTTGCCCTTGTCCAGGGCCAGGAGACCATTAGCCTCCAGCACAAGTCAAACAAAGAACATGACAAAGGTTAAAAATCCTATTTCAAATTCCATTTGCCATTCTTGCCTGAATGATGAAGTTTTAATTCAATTCTGGCTTAATTCTAATTTAATTTTGCAGTGAACACCATCTGTTTAGATTCAGCTCTTTGCATCAAGTGACGAGGGTCAGCTCAGCGCTTTGCTCCTCCGGGAGGGTAGCCCAGCCTAACTGGGACTAGGCCGCTGGTCCTGGAGAGAAGAGTGGACTCACTGTTCTCTGCCCTCTCTCCTCCCCTGTGTTCCCCTACTTCCTGAGTTTCTTCTGAAGTTAATGCTAGTAGCTACTTCTAGGTTGTTGTGAAGATGGAATTACACCGTCTGGCACAAAACAGTATTAACATGATGCCAGGTGCAGAGTAAGTGCTCGAATATTTACCGGCTGCCATTGTTACCTCTTCCCCTTCCTTCTCTCCTGCTCCTCTCATCTTCTCCCTTCCATTTCTCCCCTTTCTTCTTTTCCTTTTTTTTTTGAGTTGGAGTCTCACTGGGCTCCTTCTCAGATGCCTTTGCCCCTTGCCCCTGGCTGTCCCTGTGTTCCCCACACCACAGTGTTTCTCTGTCCAGATAAATTGGTTTCCTGTGTGTCCTTTGGCTTCCCAGAGCGACACCAGGTGGAGGGGAACCTCTTAAAAAAGGTCCCATGGCCTCTTTGTGCCCTGTGAGGGGGGAGGAGGAAGGGTGGGACAAGTCAGCAGCAGAAAGAGCACAGGTGTCCATGTCCCCAGGCGAGGTAGTGCCTGCTTCAGGTCCTTGGCTGCCTAAGGTGAAGTGCGTTAGATTACTTATGTCTCTGAAAAAGCACTTGACAAACTTCTGAGTATGGTGTATGTGTCAACATCATCCCAGGCTCTCTCTGCACCAGGCCTCATAGCCTGGAATTGGAACTGATGAGAGTAGCATGGTTAGAAATCTTCATTTCTCAGGTCAGGCTCAGTGGCTCAAGCCTGTAATCCCAGCACTTTGGGTGGCCAAGGCAAGAGAATTGCCTGAGTCCAGAGGTTCAAGACCAGCCTGAGCAACTTGGTGAGACCTCATTTCTACAATAAATAAAAAAATTAGCCAAGCATGGTGGCATGCACTTGTAGTTCCAACTACTTGGAAGACTGAGGTAGAAGGATCACCTGAGCCCAGCAGGTCAAGGCTGCAGTGAGTATGAGCGTGCCACTGCCTTCCAGCCTGGCTACAGAGTAAGACTCTGACTCAAAAAAAAAAAAGAGAAATCTTCACTTCTCACCTTTTTGGAAGCAGTTCTTGGAGGATTTCAGCAGGCAACTCTCTCCCTCCACCCAACCTGGCTGCCGCCAGCCTTCAAGTTCCCTTTCTCAGTTTTAGGACCAATTTTTCTTCCACAAAAAAGGTGTTCATGTTCCCCCTTTCCCTAATGTAGCAATTCTCACTCCTTCCCTGCCCAGTGAATACCTGATATTGGCCATGCATCACCCAAGGTGACCCACTTCAGAGCCTCAGTGCCAGTGTGGGACTCCTTGAGGGCCCTGACCTGGCTCTAGGGATGTTGGTGGGGCACTTGGAGGTCAGAGTCTGGTCTCCTCATCTCCTCCAGAATCCGCCCCTTCCCTGGCAAGCTGTGACAGCTTCCTTAGGAGTCTCTGCTTCCATGCCCACTCCCTGCCAACCTCCTTCCACCTTGTCCTTCCCAAAGGGCCAATGTAATCATGTCACCCCCACCTGCAGGAGGAACCCAATTTCTTCATCCTGGCTTATGGTGCCCCTTAGGATCTAGACCTTGCCCCCTGCTTCATCTTTCCTTTCCACATTCATCTGGCTGACTCCCACATATTCTTCAAGACCCAGACCAGACATCCCCCACCTCCAGGAAGTCTTCCCTGACTGAACCCCCACCCAACTCAGTCTGTTTCTTTATCTGTCTCCCTGCTGGGCTGTGCATTTTTATCCAGCACAGCCCTGAGCTGGTGCCCAGCTGTCAGCGCACAGCACAATGTCACTGAGCCAAGCCCCACCTTCTGGAGACCCTTCCTGTACTGTAACCCTGGCTCTTGAAACAGGGGAACCCTGAGCTGGCCTTGGGTGTGAGGAGTCTGGGCTGATGGCTGTGAGTGCCGTTGACTGGCGTGTCCCTCCTCCGGCTGGGAGGGCCCTGTCACACCCCCCACTTCCTCTCATTGTGCCTCCCTTCCTGTTTAGCAAGACTGTTTGGCTGGGGACATTTTTCCTCCCTTTGAGGACCCACCCGAGTGAATCTCTTTCTCCCTGTGTCTTCCCCAACATCTCCCAGGAGCCAACTCTGACCCACTGGTGGGCTTCAGCATCACCAGACTCAGGTTCCAATTCCGGTTCCACCCATGCGGCCATGTGGTGAGAGGTGAGAGTCTCACCTTCCTGGACCTGTTTCCTCATTTGTAAAAAGAGAAGTAGTAAGGCAGCTCCCATGGGATTGTGAGAATGTAATGAGAAGGATGTCCGTGCTTCTGGGAAGTGTGAGCTTTGGCCGGGTCACCCTTGTCCCAAGCCCCGCTGATGTGGGGCTCAGAGGAGAGCCCAGCTGGGCCCTTGCTGGATGCCTGCAAGTCCAAACATCCTGTTCTTGTTTGAACTCCTTACTGGAGAAACAGGGAAAAGCTGTCTTTTTTCCTTCCACCCATATCAGGTGACACAAAAACACGAGCCCGTCTGGGTTGAACTGCTTGACTCTGGTGTTTGGGAGCAGATCTGAGCTGCTGAGCCGGGCAGCGATTCCTTCTCTGGATTAGCATTGACTCTGTGGGAACCGGACCACCCCTGAGACAGGAGGGCGGCCCGATGCCTCCCCAGGGCCTGGGTCTGCAGCAGAGCCCCCTCCTCCTGGGGAGGGGGGACCCTGGGCTCATATTTTCCCCACCTCTCCTGCCTTCTTCCCTGCAGGTGAACTTCCACAGCCCCCGGAGTGGCCAGAGGTGCTGGGCCGCGCGGACCCAGGTGGAGAAGCGGCTGGTGGTGCTGGTGGCACTTCTGGTGACAGGACTAGTGGCCTCCTTAGCAGCGCTGGGCATCCAGTACCGGACAAGTAGGTGCTTCCGTGTTGCCTGGTGGGCTTGACGTGAGTGTTCCCAACTCTGTCCACCTGGACAAGCTGGGCTTCCCTGCTCAAGCCAGGACAGGCCTCCAAGGTCTGGGGGGGCAGCTAGGCCCAGAGGACTTGGGGGACTGAGATGGATCGAGACCTGGGGAGTGGGCAGCGTGGGTGGAATAAAGGGCTAGGAGTCCGGTAAGTTGGCTCAGCAACTTACTGGCTGTGTGAGTCACTTGGACGAATTACTTACAATCCCAGAGCCTTCTCTACTTTAGATGGGAAAACAGTGCCCAGTTGGGGAATGGCTCTGAGGAGTAGAGGTGATGCATATCACATACCGGCTGGCTCATAAGACTTCTTCAACTTTGGCTCTGGGAACTACTGTTGCTCGGATGTGGGCTGGTTAGACACACGGGTGACACCATTTGCCACCTCTGGTTCCAATAAAATAGCAGTAATGGTCCAGGCATAGTGGCTTATGCCTGTAATCTCAGCACTTTGGGAAGCTGAGGTGAGAGGATCACTTGAGGCCAGGAGTTTGAGACCAGCCTGAGCAACATGACGAGATACCACCTCTACAAAAAATAATTAAAAAAAAAATCAGATTGGTGTGGTCGTGTACACTTGTAGTCCCAGCTACTTAGGAGGCTGAGGCAGAATTGCTTGAGCCCAGGAGTTTGAGGCTGCAGTGAGGCAGAATTGCTTGAGCCCAGGAGTTTGAGGCTGCAGTGAGATATAATTGTGCAATAGCACTCCAGCCTGGGGGATCGAGCAAGACCTCATCTCTGAAAACAAACAAGAATGACTTCTGTTTACTGGTTACTTTTCATGGACCAATACTACACCTCTCCTTTGCAGGTATCATCTCATTTCCTCCTGAAGAAGCCCTTATGAGGTGTGGTTACTTTTGGCCCCTTTCCCATATTAGGAAACTGAGGCACTGAGACTGAGTGACTTGCCCAAGGTTACGTGGCTGAGGAGGGACTGACAGAGGTTTGAGTGGGGAAGGTGGAATTCACCCACAGGCTGCTGGGCTCTGTGCCCAGGCTCTGCCTCCCTCTCATCCTAGTGTACTCCAGAGAGGATCTGTGCCTTTCTGTGAGGCAGTTCCCTCTGTGTACCTCTGTCACACTGTAGTGACACGATTGAGTCCCTCTGATCCTGCTGTAGGGGTCTGAGGTGGGTCATCTGGTCCAGCCAAGTGGATCTAGACAGCACGGGGTCCAGTAAGCACTTACGGAATTGGAAGGGGCAGAGCCATCAGAAACAAACCTGTAACTGATTAGGCTTCCACCCTTGTTCCTGATTGGATCTGAATCCTTGCCTCAAGTGATCCTCCCACCTCCGTCCCCTGTGCCCGACATCTAGCCTTCTGATGACAGGGGGGCCATCTGGTTGAGCAGCCTCTGGGGGCCTTGCTCGGGGTCCCACCCACTTGCGGGGTCACTCACTCCATCAAAAGGATCGTGACCTTTCTCGGGATCTGGGAACATCCCCTCGCGCTGTGTGGCACCTTCTCTGCCGTGAAGTTGCTGGCCTTTGGGGGGTGGCCATGCTGCACTGGGATGGGGCAAGGACTTGGGGACCTGAAGAGAGGGCAGGGACTTCATCTGAGTCACGCTTCCCTCCCCCTGTGTTAGGCACACAGGCGTGGGTTTATTCCACAAGCACAGGTGGTGCTGGAGAAATAACTTCTTGGTTATTTAACTGACTGTTGAATGGTTTGTAGGTGTTTTACCAAATGTGCCTGGCTCAGCAGGTGCTTAATGCACATTTGATTCCTAGTTTCAGGCCCTTACTGGTTGTGTTTAGCATAGTGCCTGCATGCCATAGGTGTACAGATAGTAAAATGAGTAAATGAAGATGGAATGAGCAAAGGGGTGAGAAGGAAGATCAAGCTAGGAACAGCCTTTCTCTACTGAGTGCATGTGTGTGACAGTGCAGGTATGTGTTGGTGAGTGTGTTGTGTGTTGTGTGTGTCGGTGAGTGCATGCACGTGCCTGCTCCACCAGCAGGGCACAAACTACCTCATCATCCTCGTCCTGCTACTGCCATCTTGCCTCATCCTGAATCAGCCCCGGTTCAGAATACTCTACTGGTCAGTGTGGATCTGGCCAGCCCGTCTGTCCAGCTCTTGTCCAGGGCGGCAGGAGCAGGCCAGACTCCAGCAGGCAGTGTTGCCTTGAGACTGCCCTTGGGAGCTCCCGAGATGTTTCTTCACTAGAAACCAGAAGGGAGCCCCCAAGGGTCAGCTCCCAGTGGTCATTCCCAAAACATTTCTGCTGCTATTGCCCAGGGGGCTTCATGGGGAGGAATCCTGCTTCTGCCTTGGCTCTAGCTCACTCAGCTCCCCGAAGGGCTCCCCCAGCCTGGACCTGGGAGAGGAACATTCTTCTTCCCCCAAGTTGGAGCTGGGCAGGGGATCCCTGACCCACCTGGGAAAGCAGAGGCCACCCCGGATATTGTCAGTAACCTTCTTACCCAGAAGCAGGTGCTAGCCACATCTGAGCAAACAGTAGGCCAGTCAAAGCAAATCTTCTGAGGATTCCGAAAGACAAACCTCTGGGTCATATTTGGGCACCTAAAAGTATTTTTGTCTATGTTCCTGCTATACCTTCCTTTCTGGAAATCTGCAGGTGCTTTGCAAACAGCGGCAGCAAAACAAACAATAACTTCTCCCAGAAAATATTTTAAAGCATCTTACACAATGTTGAGGCCAGACATTGTCCAGATGAGTGTGAGTTAGATCTGGGAACTGTTCCTGCCTTCTCAACTGATCATGTCCTGAAGGAAAGAAATATTTGCTGTCTCCATGGGTGGTGGCAACTCGAGTGCTCGGGCGAAGCTCTTTCATTCATTCACTCATTCAAAAAACGTGTATTGGGTTGAGTGTGATGGCTCACACCTAAAATCCCAGAATTTTGGGGAGGCTGAGATGAGAGGATTGCTTGAGCCCAGGAATTTGAGACCAACCTGGGCAACATAGCAAGAGCTTGTCTCTACAAAAAAAAAAAAAAAAAAATCAATTGGGCGTGATGGTGCATGCCTGTAATCCCAACAACTCAGGAGGCTGAAGTGGAAGAATCACCTAAGCCCAGGAGATCGAGGCTGTGGTGAACCACGATTGTGCTACTGCACTCCAGCCTGAGCCACAGAGACCCCCCACTCAAAAAAAAAAGTGTATTGAACATCTGCCAGTTTTCAAGTACAATGCCAGGCAAAGGAAATATGAAAACTAGGGGGATTCTGACCCTCCCCTCAAGTTCACATTCTAGTGGGAGAGGGAGAAGGGGAGATGGCCATGGCACAGCCCGGTCTGTGCTGGGATTGCAGGCACCCAGACAGCAGAGGGACCTGGCAAGGGAAGGGTCTGAGCCGGTTTCCCTACGGAGGTGGATACTTGAATGAGGGGGCCTGGAAACCATTCATTCCTTAATCAAAATGCATTAGGCACCTGCTGAGCCAGGAATATTTGGTAAATTTTCTTCAAACCATTGACCAGTTAAATAAGCAAGCCATTTTTTCTTAGGTACCATCCCATGTCCAGCAGTCAGGACTTAGTGAAGAACTCAGACCTTTGAGGCTGGCTGCTGGGAACCATTTGTTATTTTGTTTTTAAATCTAAGTCTCCTTATATAACTACAGAAATCTTAATCAATTGATCTCTCTCTCTCTCTGTCTCACACTTAACACACACACACACACACACACACACACACACACACACACACGGAAAGAGAGAAAGAGAGATAGATTCTGGTATTTCTCACTACCTGAGGTTCATTCTCTTATAGTCTGTCTTCTGGGTATTTCACTGGCCAGAATTTTGTCAAACTTTCCTTCCTGTGGTTTGGTGTATAAAAACAATAGATGCTCTTTTCCTTTCCCAAATATAGAGTAAATCGTAATAGTGAACAGGCTCTTTGAACCTACACATTAAGGTTCTGGTACATGCAACTCTGATTAAGATGACCTGATGCAGAGATATTTTAAAAGGTGCCGTTTCCTTTCTTTCCACGTGTAATGCCTTATTAATTTTTTTTATTCCACACTTCTCAGCTGTGAACAATGATTTTTTAAAAATTGTATAATTATCTCAAAATAAAGTCACCCTGATTTTCCTGCTATTGTGTGACTCCCCTGAGGCCTGTCAGCCTGAAGTATTCTGTGTTGTCATAGATGCTAATAAGCCCATAAGGGGACCTTCCAGACCATGCTGCCCACCTGGCATTACATTTCTGGGCAGGGCGAAGACTGCCGCTGCTTGCCCATGCATTCTGCTCTCCATAGACTGGCCTGGAGCATCAGACCCTGAGCCTCAAGGAGGCTAAGCCTCCGTGTCTAGCCATGAAGTCCTTTCATCATCCCTGTGAAATGGTCCTACTGTCCTTCCTAATTTCTAGATAGAGAGCCTGAGATTCGGAGAGTTGAGGCCACCTGTGCAAAGCCCCACAGGCAAAAGCAGAAAGCCAGGATTTGAATCCAGGTCTCCTCCCCAGCCCACCCTGCCGCCCAGAGCTGTGGGGAAGCTACCAGGCTGTACCAGCCCCTCATGTGACCTGCAAAGAGCAGGGGAGGGAAAGCAGAAAAACGCAGCTATGGCGTGGCTGAACCAGGGCAGACCTGGGCTTGGCCTTCAGCCCTCCTGTGCAGCCAGGTGATCTTGTTCTGTTTATTCTCTGGAAGCCTCAGTTTCCCCATCTTCAACAGGGATGCCAAACTGCCTGCAGTAAGGGTCACGTGAGATCCTGGGCGTGTGTGGCATGCCTGGTGTGGAGCTGTATTCAGTCAGCAGTCCCTGTCTCGCTGCCAGTTCAGCTTGTGTCAACAGAGGACCAACCGGGATGGGCCTTGTGCTCCTTGTCCTGTAGAGGCAGGTGTTCTGCCACCTTGGGCTGCGCCTCTGGGGGGGCTGCCCACGGTTCAAGTCCTCTGCTGGAGCCCACCTGCCAACCTAGAGGCAAAACCTGCCTCCCCCTTGCCTCTGCCAAACCTGTCTCTCAAGGTTGTTTAGCTTTTGATTTTTTGAAGCTTCAGTGAGGTAACTAATGCTCCTGCCTTGTTTCAGGGTAGGGGGTTGATGATTTTCATGGTCCCATCCTCTCATTCCTAATAGTCTTTCCCCCTTCCTGTATCCCGGCATCATATTGCTTGTATCACCCATTTGGTTGTTCAGCCTGTTTGTGTAGAATGAATGACAGACATTTTTTCCACTGTTGTCTTTTGACTTTTCTTATGCTGTGTGTGTATACCCAGCCAAATTGTGAGCTCTTGAAGGAAAGAACTATGCCTTTTATATGCCCCATTCCCCCTACACACAAACACACACACACACACACACACACACACACACACACACACACACACACACACACGGTTCTCAGCAATGAACCTGGAAGACACTCCATAATTATTTTGCCAAATAAATGAATGCATGAGTGAATGAATAAATTTGTTGAGCATAAGGGAATAATAAAAAGTCAATGCATATTTATAGAAGGAAAGGGTTATTAAGAGAAACTCCTTGGTTTGGGTAGTTTTTTTTTGAGTTGGAGTCTCACTCTGTCACCCAGACTGGAGTGCAGTGGCCGCTTCCAGCCACCGCAGCCTCGACCTGCTGGGCTCTGGCGATCCTTCCGCCCCAGCCTTCCCAGTAGCCGGAATTACAGGCATGCGCTACCACGCCCGGCTGATTTTTTTGATTTATTGTAGAGATGAGGTCTCGCTGCCCAGGCGGGTCTTGAACCCGCGGGCTCAGGCAATCCACTCACCTCAGCCTCCCAAAGGCGCAGGATTACAGGCTGAGCCACCGAGCCCGGCTGGTTTGGGTAGTTTTTAAGCCATAGAAAGGATTACAGACAGCTCAACAGAAGTCTTATTCTGTGAGCTGGGGGACTATAAATCTACTTAAATCATTTCATTATTTTTTTTTTTTTTGAGTTGGAGTCTTGCTCTGTCGCCCAGAATGAAGTGCAGTAGCACGTTCCTGGCCACCGCAGCCTTGACCTGCTGGGCTCTGGTGATCCTTCTGCCTCAGCCTTCCAAGTAGCTGGAATTACAGGCGTGCGCTACCACGCCCGGTTAATTTTTTTTTTTTTGTAACGATTAGGTCTCGCCAAGTAGCCCAGGCAGGTCTCGAACCCACAGGCTCTGGCAATCCACTCATCTTGGCCTCCCAAAGTGTGGATTACAGGCTGAGCCACCGAGCCCGGCTTACTTAAATCATTTCTATAGGGGCTTAGTGACCATCAGTTCCAAGTCTGCGTGGTCAGGACTGGGGTGGAATGTGTTACCTCTGAGCCCAGACCACTGCACTGCCCTCCTGTGGCCTCTTCCCTGCCCACCCTTCACTGGCCTCTTGTCCTTGACCTTCTAGGATCCCCCACGGCATGTCTGAGCGAGGCCTGCGTCTCAGTGACCAGCTCCATCTTGAACTCCATGGACCCCACGGTGAACCCCTGCCAGGACTTCTTCAGCTATGCCTGTGGGGGCTGGATCAAGGCCAACCCTGTGCCTGATGGCCACTCACGCTGGGGGACCTTCAGCAACCTCTGGGAACACAACCAAGCCATCATCAAGCACCTCCTTGGTAAGCACCCGGCAGGGAGACCAACCAGTGGGACACAGAGGGATGCTGTCAGCTGGGTCTCCCCAGCCATGCCTGTTAAAGGGAGGCTTGCCTGAGCCCGCGGGTTCGAGACCCATCTGGGCAACTTGGTGACACCTCATCTCGACAATAAATCAAAAATCAGCTGGGCATGGTAGCGCGTGCCTGTAATTCCGGCTACTCGGAAGGCTGAGGCGGAAGGATTGCCGGAGCCCAGCAGGTCGAGGCTGCGGTGGCCGGGAGCAGCCACTGCACTCCAGTCTGGGCAACAGAGTGAGACTCCAACTCAGGAGAGGCTTGGCAGAATGGAATGGAAGGTCATAGACTTTGGAGTGGGTGAAACCTGTCACTCATTGTATGATCCTGAGTAAGTCACTTATCTCTGAACCTCAGTTTCTTCAGTCTGTCCAATGGGATTGATAGGACCCTAACTGCAGAGTTTTGAGAACAAGAGGGTACACGTGTAGAGCATTGGCATGCTGTGAGTGGCACAGAGTAGGTACACAAGAGCTGGAGACCATGGGCATTACTGTGACTTCAAGCTTGACTTAGTTTTTGACTAGTATTGACTGTGAGTTTTGGAAGTTGTGAACAAAAGGGATAGAGACTGAACACTCTAGATCAGATTCTAAGGTTGTAATCCGATGAAAGTTCTAACAGTGGCTTATCAGACAGTTAGTTATCCAATGTAAGCCTCATGGAATCAGCTGTGTGCTAAGCTGTCTGGCCAAAGTTCTCTGTGCACCATGTCAGGCCCTTGGCACCTCTGGTTGACCTCTGTGTTTACGGTTGTGTACTGAGATTAGAATCCCATGCCATCTTGTTTGTAGCCTTGTGCCTGGTTAATGTCTGTTGGATTTCTGTCTGCTCATTGGGTTCCTTCTCTGGTGTGAAATTACAATAATTTCAGCCAGGCTCAGTGGCTCAGCCTGTAATCCCGCGCTTTGAAAGGCTGAGGTGAATGGAATGCCTCAGTCCGAGGGTTCGAGACCCGCCTGGGCAACTTGGCGAGCCCTCATCTCTACAATAAATCAAAAAATTATCTGGGCGTGGTAGCACGCGCCTGTAGTTTCAGCTACTTGGAAGGCTGAGGTGGAAGAATCGCCAGAGCCCAGCAGGGCGAGGCTGCCATGGCTGGGAGTGTGTCACTGCACTCCAGTCTGGGCGACAGAGTGAGACTCCAACTCAAAAAAAAAAAAAAAGAAATTACAATATTTCTGCTGTACCGCAAAGGTCCTGACTTGAACACCTTGGCAGTTGGGATTGGCCATGTCCCTCTCCTGCTGACTCCTGCTCCATCCTGGGACCCTAAATGCTGGGAGAAGCGAGATCATGAAAAGCCAATTCTTTTATCCATTGATGGCAGAATTTATATTCAACAAATATTTATTAAGTGTTTTTTGTTTTTGAATCGGGGTCTCACTCTGCTGCAGAGGCTGGAGTGCAGTAACATAATCACAGCTCACTGCAGCCTTGACCTTCTGGGTTCAGACAACCCTTCCATCTCAGCCTCCCAAGTAGCTGGGACTATAGCCATGTGCCACCACCTTGCCCTGCCTTTTTTTTTTTTTTTTTTTTGGTAATAAAAATTAAAAAAGGGTCTCACTGTGTTGTCTAGGCTAGTTTTGAACTCCTAGGCTCGAGCAATTCCCTCACCTTGACCTCCAAAAGTGCTAGGATTACATGTGTGAGCTGCTGGTCTCAATTAAGTTTTTTTTTTTTTTGAGTTGGACTCTCACTCTGTTGCCTAGACTGGAGTGCAGTGGCCGCTCCTGGCCACCACAGCCTCAACCTACTGGGCTCCAGTGATCCGCCTCAGCCTTCCGAGTAGCCAGAATTACAGGCATTTGCTACCACGCCCAGCTGATTTTTGATTTATTGTAGAGATGAGGTCTCGCCAAGTTGCC